CTGTGCTGGCAGCTCAGAGCCTGGAGCCTGCTTTGGATTCTGTGTCTCCCTCTTTCTGCCCCTAACCCACTTGCATTCTGTCTCTGTCTCTCTCAAAAATAAACGTTAAAAAAAAAATTTAAAAAAAGATTCTAGTTGGCTCACATAGAGGGTAGAATTGGTTTCAGATTTAGAATGTAACACATAGCACCCAGTGCTCCTCATAACAAGTCTGTTTTAATGGCGACCCAGTGGCTGTGTTCAGAAGACGCCCTTACTTGCTACAGATGCATCCTAAGTTCTTTTACAGGGAAATGGCACGCGTGTGGGACGAACTTGAAGATATTCTAGGACAAAAGTCTGGAGGGTCAGTACAGGAAACAAATCTGATAAAGGGCACGTGGGTGCAGAGTCCAGGCTGTTATGGATCCTTGGGGTCCCTCCTGTTACCCTGTTTTGTAGACATCTGAAGTTTCAGCCAAAGAGAAAGAACAGCTCACACATGTTCATGAGCAAAGGTTGGGCGGTTTAAATGAGCATCCCTGGCTCACACCGGACGCGGGTGACACGGGACACAGGCCGACACGGGGAGGGCAGGACGAGGCCACCAGGACACCACGGGTGAAGGCCTCAGGGCTCCATCTGCTCCCGGACAGAATGTGAGAGTTTGTGAACCCTGTGATCTCTCTTTTCCCCATTATCATCGGTAATCAGGCAGTCGGTGCTCGAAGACAAGAGCGGACACAAAACAAAGAGAAAAGGGACAGGGACGCAGGGGAAGTGCACTGGCTTACCTGTCCCTCACTTCTGCCACACACAGCACCCACGTCAGCACCCACATCTGTGCCCCCGGGCCTGCCCGTGTGACACCCAGATCTGGGGATGGGCCTTAACGGTGGCAGCCCTACCCCAAGGCTCTCACGGGGTGGCAAGGAGGTGGCAATGACCTGAACACAAGGGGTCAGCATCCCCAGCCAGGGAGCCCTCACATCCTCCCCAAGGAAGAACACAGAGAACAAACAGGAATTAACGGGGCAGAATGGAGGAAATGTGTCCCAGTTGGCGAGAACGGAAGTGTGGCAGGCAGTGGCCAGGTGGCTCGTGCTCACACCTCTAAGTGGCTAAGGAAACCAGTGTGAGGAGACCCAGGGTGACAGTCACCCCGACTCGCCAAGGCTCCTCAGTCTGGGAGTGCACACCCTTCATAAACCACCCTGCTGGGGAACAAGTGTTTCACAGGGGCCAGGCACTGGCTTCCAGGGAGTGGAGTCTAGGTCAGACCTGCATTGTAAGTGACCCATCTGAAGGCATTCAAAGTGCACATGAAAAGGGGGAAGGGAGATGACAGTGTGGGGAGAGTATCTCAAGGCCAGATGAAAGGATAAAATGAAGTAAATGGTTATAAATTCCCAACCTTAAATAAAGGTAATCGTATCCCTTAAATTTACTCATACTTCCGTCCCTCTTTATTTCCGTTTAGTGCAGTTGACATGTAATGCTGTGTTTTAAAATAAACATAAGCATTTTAGGGGTGCCTGGGTGGCTCAGTCAGTTAGGGGTCCAACTTGGGCTCAGGTCACCATCTCACGGTTCAGGAGCTCAAGGCCCGTGTTTGGCTCAGAGCCCGCTTCGGATCCTGGTTCCCCTTTCCCTCTACCCCTCCCCCGCTCAGCACTTTCTCGAAAATAAATTAAAAATGCATTAAAAATAAATGAATGAATGAACGAACAAATAAATGAATGAAACGTAAGCATCTTAAAGTTAATTTCCTCTCCAAAATGCATAACCTTACCCGGATGGTTGGTCTTGATGTGCGACTTGATCAATCGATCTTCTGAAAAAGACTTTTCACACACAGGACAAGAATAACTCCTTTTGTCCTTAACAGAAAGAGAGCACAGTCAATTAAGCGTCCCACTTAAACCTCGGCTCCATGGAACGTCCACCACCACCGTCACCACCACCGCCACCACGGCCAGACCACAGTGCACCTTTGCAAACGTGTGACATGCCCCTGCACCTGGCCCTCACAGCCCGGGGAACAGTAGCGGCTCCGCGTCAGAAGGGAGGGACGGGGCTTACAGACGAGGGTCCAGTGAAGGTGGCCGGGCCAGCAGAGGGCAGGGCTGGGCCTCGAGGTCTACCATGCAGACCGGCGCTGCTCCGCGACCCAATGCGTATTATGTCCTCCAATGCTCTCTGCGTGGTGTGGGGGGGTTTCACAGAGTTATTTTACTGGGACTCACAACCACTCTCAGTGGACAAGCATTACTGTGCTCACATTGCAGATGAAGAAACCGAGGCCCAGAGGGATGAGCCCCGAGTCTGAGAGGAAGAGCGGGCGTCTGAACCTGAACGTACACAGGCCCACCCGGGCGGCTCCTGCTACTCCCCAGGCCGCGTCCACGGAGGTTCATGCTCCTCGCTTCGTGGATCCAGCTCCCACGAAAGGAGAAACGCTTGTGAATGATCAGGCTCTAGCTCTGCTCATCTGCCTTTTCCCTCGGCTCACTATTGGGCTAGTTCATGGGCCAACTGTCCCCGGAGGGTGGGTGTTATGGGTTAAACCGTGTCTCCTGCAAAATCCACGTAGTGAAGTCCTAACCCCCCAGTATTTAGGAATGAAACCTTATTTGGAAAGAGGGTCACTGCAGCTGTAACTAGCTAAGAAGAAGTCATCAGAGCGGACCGCCATCCAACAGGTCTGGTGTTTGGACAGGGACATGCACACGGGGGGATCCCACGTGGAGATGAAGGCAGAAATCCAGGTGGCGAGTCTACAAGCCAAGAAACGACAAAGATTGCTGGCGAAACGCTGGAAGCTCAGAGGGAGGCAGAGAACAGACTCTCGCCCATGGCCCTCAGGAGGAAGTAACCTCGCTGACACCTTGATCTTGGAACGCTAGCCTCCAGAACTGCGCGACCAGAAACATCGGTTGTTCATGCCACTCGGTGGTACAGGCGCTCGAGGGACGAGCGTGAGGGGTAAGCTGAGGAAGGGAAATGTCGGCCTCCGGACTCCACCTGCTCTGCAGGGGCTCCAGACAGGTGGGAGAGGCGGCCAGACAACAGAGAGCCACGCGTACGGGTCTCACTCGTGCTCCCACCCTCGGCGCCCCTGGCAGGAAAGACAACCAAGTGAGGCTGCACACGAATCACTCGGAGAAACGCCCGCAAAAACCCACGAGAAGCTTCAGAAGCGTGACCTGTGTGAACAAACTTCACAAGCCTGCAAGAGCCGCAGGAGCCGTGACCGCAAGGATAGTTCCGGAAGGTGTTCCCAGTCCGCGCTCACCTGCAGTTACAGAACGAACCCCCACCGTTTGTTGAGCACCTGCTAGGAGCTCAGCATCCAACCAAGTGCTCTCATGTCTTAGTAAACGAACACAATCCTCACAGCCACCCAGAAACACAGTCAACTCAGACTAATAACAGCAGCAGCAACAGTGACCACTTCTTCCGAAGTTCCTCGTCCAGAGTGCTGTGTGTTACATGCCACGACCTACGGGGCATTTAGAGCTGCCCAAGGCCACACCCCCCGGAGGGCAGAGATGGGTGTCCAAGGCAGACCCCTGTAGTCCAGAGTTCCTGCTCCTATAAGACAGTGACCAAGAGCACAGACTCAGGACTCACAGACCCCGAGCTCAAATCCTGGTTTCGCCACTTAGCTCGGGAACCCTGGGCAAGTGACTTAACCGTCCGTGCCTTGGTTTCCTCATTTGTAAACTGGCAATAAAAACCGCCTGTTGCTAGGAGGAAAAATGAAATTACAAACACATAAAGCAGACTCACAACTTCTAGTCCAGCACGGGAGAGGCTCAGAAGTTTCTACTCCATCCTAACAATAGATGAATACGCTGAGAAAGGAACAACCCTTCTTAACCCTTAAGACACGTGACGTCACAGGGGCAAGCCAGTGCCCCCCAACCTGAAGAGAAGGCAGAGAATCACAACTTACTGGAGCAAAATCCCACAGGCAGACACCCCCCAGAAAACCAGGACCAGAGTAGGGCAACCAAGACTGGAATTGATAAGCTGCTGGAAACTCACCAGGGCCAAGTAGGAGAGTTCAGCATTCCAGGGGCACCCACTTTTGTGAGTTTTACCCCTAGGGCCTCCACCCTGTACTCACAGTGAGCATCAGAGAAAAACCCATACTTCTGGCAGGGAGAAGGGAAAAGGAACCATTCTGAAACACACTGGAGCATTCTATCCTTGACAACACCTGCCCCCCAGAGGAAACCAGTTCACCAGAGCCTAGCTTGCCGGGGTATTATCGGAGACTAAGCTACCTGCAGGAGGAGAAGTACCCAATTCCAGCCCCCTACAGCCTTCCACACGGGAGAAAGGACAGACCCAAACCCGGCCCACTTTAGCCATCCTTACCCACCTCAGGGAGTTGGAAAAAAAAAAATGAGGAACACTGGTGAAGTTCATGTCCATAGGCAGAGGCTCCTGAGAGACTGAGCCCTAATCACGGGGTTACAGAATGATTCTCCTCCCCCACACCTTACCAATACATTACTACACGCCTATTTACGTCAAGTCCTTGTACCCAGTACATCCTGTCCAGCTAGGAAGGAAGAATAATATCACAAGACTCACGAAAAGGCAAAAAGCACAGTTTGAAGAGACAGAGCAAGCGTCAAAAGCAGATTCAGATATGGCAAGGATTTGGAGATTATGAGACCAAGCATTTAAAACAACTTGGATGTACACACTAATAGTAAGAGCTGTACTGGACAAAGCAGACGGCACGTAAAGGAGAGGGGCGATGGAAGCAGAGGCGAAAATTCTCAGAACCAACAAAGAGATGCTAGAGATCAAAACCACGGTGGCCGAAATGAAGAAAGCCTTTGATGGGCATGTTAGACTGGATACAGCTCAATCTCAGAGCCTACGGATATCTCAAAAGAAGCCTCTAAAACTGAAAAGCAAGGGGAGCCTGGGTGGCTCAGGTCGGTTAAGCGTCCGACTTCAGCTCAGGGCATGATCTCGCAGTTTGTGAGTTGGAGCCCCTCGTCGGGCTCTGTGCTGACAGCTCAGAGCCTGCAGCCTGCTTCAGATTCTGTGTTTCCCTTTCTCTCTGCCCCTCCCCCGCTCGCTTGCTTGCTCACTCTTCTCTCTCAAAAATAAATAAATATAAGAAAGAATTTTTAAACTGAAAAGCAAGCAGAAAGATTGATGTGTATCGAAGGGATGTGTATGTAGTAGGAATATGAGAAGAAAGAGATAAAGAAAACGAAGAAATACCTACACCAACAATGATTGAGAACTTCTCTAATATGATGTCAAACACCAAGCCACAGATCCCAAAAACTCAGAGAACATCCAGTAAGAATAATACCAAATAAACTACACCCATCATTTTCAAACTACAGAAAACCAAAGATAAAGAAAAAATACTGAAAGAAGCCAGAGGTAAAAAATAAAACCAAACAGAAAAACACCTTACCTATAGAGGAACAAAGATAAGAATTGCACCCAACTTCTCAGAAACTACACAAGCAAGAAGAGAATGGAGTGAAATGTTTACATAAAGGAAAAAACACCCAACTCAGAATTCCGTACCCTGCAAAACTACCCTTCAAACATGAAGGAGGGGCACCTGGGTGGCTAATTGTTTACACGTCTGACTCTTGATTTTGGCTCAGGTCATGATCTCAGAGTTGTGAGATCAAACCCCTCATCATGTCAGTGCAAAGCCCGCTTAATATTCTCTCTCTCCCCTTCCCTCTGCCTCTCCCCAGCTCACCCATGTGTGCTCTGTCTTGCTCGCTCTCTCTCAAAAAAAAAAAGAAAGAAAGAAAAGGGAAAAAATGAAGGAAAATACTTTCTCAGACAAACAAAATTGAAGGAATTTGTTACCACTAAGACCTGTCTTACAAGAAATATTAAAGCAAGATAAAGTTAAAAAAAAAAAGCAAAGAGGAAAAAGTCAAAAGTTGATCTTCATAAAGAAAGAGCACTAGAGAAGGAAGAAGTAAAGGTAAAATAAAAGCTTTTATTTATCTTAATCTTCATTGATCTAAAAGAAAGTTTGTTCAAAATAATAACTGCAACAATGTATTCAATACACATATATGTGCTTATATATAAGTGAATAAATACCGGCAATGATACACAGGGTATGAAGAAGGAATTAGGATTATTGTGTTACTACAAGATACTGACACTATCCACAGTGTAGAACAGTGCTATCTGAAAGCTAACTTGGATTCTATGTAAATGTATGCTGCAAGTTCTAGGGTAAACACTAGCAAAGGTTAAAAAAAAAAATTGTAAGTGATATGCTAAGAAAGGAAAGAAAATGAAACCATAAAATGCCCAGTTAAAACTACAAAAGGCAGAAAAGAACAAGAGTAGAAGACAAGAAACAGAAAACAAGGGCAACAAACAGAAAACAGTAACAAATATGGTAACTATTAATTCAACTGTATCAATAATCACTTTGGACATCAATGATCTAAAATGCACCAAATTAAGAGATTACCAAACTGGGGTGCCTGGGTGGCTCAGTCGGTTAAGCGTCCGACTTCAGCTCAGGTCATGATCTCATGGTTCGTGGGTTTGAGCCCCACATCGGGCTCTGCACTGACAGCTCAGAGCCTGGAGCCTGCTTTGGATTCTGTGTCTCCCTCTCTCTCTGTTTTCCCTCTGCTCGTTCTCTATCTCTCAAAAATAAACAAACGTTAAAAAAAAAATTAAAAAAAAAAAAAAAGAGAGATTACCAAACTGGATCAAAAAACAAGATTCAGCTATATGTTGGCTCTACGAAGCCCACCTTAAATTTAAAGACACATACAGATTAAAAGAAAACAGACGGAGAAAGATATACTATGCTAACACTCATCAAAAGAAACGGGAAGTAGCTTTCTAATTCAAGAGAGAACAGACTTCAGAGATGGTTATCAGTGATAAAAAGGGGCATTACCCAATGTTGAAGGAATCAATTCTCTAAGAAGACATAATTATCCTTAACATGCGTGCATCTAACAACAGAGTCAAAAAGCATGAGGCAAAAAATGGTAGAATGGCAAAAGGAGAAATAAACAAATCTACTGTCTTAGCTGGAGACGTCAATACCCCTCTCTCAGAAACGGACAGAGCCAGCAGGCAGAAAGTCAGTGAGGACATGGCTGAACTCAACAACACAGTTGAATTCAATCAATCAACTGGGTAAACTGACATCCATAGAC